TGCAATTTTGGTGAAATGGAGAAATTTTGAAAGGCAGCCCAGCCACTCATCAGCAAGTCTCATTTATCATTATTAATCCAGAGTTTCTGCGAGTTTTCGTTTTCGTTTCGTTTTCGGGGAAACTTGAAACCCATCGAAAGGCACATGTAATTTAACTCATTAGCCCGGGCAAACATTTTCCCTTCTTTTTTTTCGGAGTTGGGGTTTTGGGTCAACATTTTGAAGCCTGACACCGCAAGGCAAACACAGCCAAATTAATTAATTTCCATTTGAATTGCAGAGCAAGCGGGGTTCCTCTGCTGAAATTGAAACGAAACCAAAACAAGAAACCAGCGCAGGGCACAAAATTGATATACAAAAAATGAACGAAAGAAAAGAAATAAAAAAAAAAGAGAGAAATGATATAAATAAATATAAACATGTTGGGCAGCTCGCCGGACAAAAGGACAATATAAAGCGCTTTTAATTAATTTCTTTCAAGGTGAAGGCAAACAAAATGGTCGAGCGAAAAAGTGTTGGCATCGTGATTTATATTTGCGTATTTGCAGCGGAATCAAGTGAGTGCAAAAACTGCATGCAAATAGCCAAATTTGCCCGTTTGCGAAATGTTTAAGGTGCGACTCCTGCCACGACTGGCCACGCCCACCTGGGGCGCTTGACATTAATGGAGAGTCCGCCCTCCCTCGATTTCCCTTTGCTGCGGTGTGTGAGGAGGCAGAGGCAGGGGAGAGGGCCTTCGTTAGTGGTGGCTTGGCTTGGTCTGAAGGTTTGAAGGCTTTTCATGCCAACAACAGCGGGGAAAAGCGGGGAAAACGGGGCAATGGGGCAACGGGTCGGATGGAAATTGCGTGCAGCTGAAGTAGAGTTGGTGGGCGTGGTCAGCTGCCCTTTTTGGCCGCTCTCTATATTCCCCAATCTCCATTATACATCCCTAAATTTCTCAGCTCAAACATAAACAAAAACAAGAGAGAACGCTATAGTCGGGTTGGTGTCCCGACTATCTAATACCCGTCACTCCGCTAAAGGGAGTGCGAACGCTGTGTCGGGTTGGTGTCCCGACTAATAATCGTAACTCAGCTAAAGGGAGTGCGAGGGAGATAGATATATGTTGACAATTTATAAATCGTATAACTTTTTAATGAATGGTCCGATTTGAAAAATGTCTTCTACATTTCGATAGGTATAAATATACACAACAAAATTGCATTTATACTTCTCGGAAATCTTTAAAGATGTGGGCGCAGGACCCATTTTAAAATCGTTAGTGGGCGATTGTGGGCGTTAGAGGGGGCGTGGCGCTTGGCTAAAATAAACTTGCGCTGCGTAGGAAGCCAAAGAATATGTGTGGGAAATCTCAACCTTCTAGCATTTGTAGTTTCTGAGATCTCAGCGTTCATACAGACGGACAGACGGACAGACGGACAGACAGACAGACAGACAGACAGACAGACAGACAGACAGACAGACGGACGGACGGACATGGCTAGATCGACTCGGCTAGTGACCCTGATCAAGAATATATATACTTTATGGGGTCGGAAACGCTTCCTTCTAGCTGTTACATACTTTTGCACGAATCTAGTATACCCTTTTACTCTACGAGTAACGGGTATAAAGATCGGGAATACATTAGAAATAGCTGGGTTCTTTAAATCACTTTTAAATGACAAAATAGGTGTCAAAATCCTAATTTTCAACCCAAAATAGTATTTTGGTCATAAAAATTGAAATAATGATCCAAATATGGAATGCCATACCTCGCTGAACTCGTAATAAAATCTCCAATCGATTTGCATTTCAACCTAGAAATGTTTAATTTTTCACCCCTTATCAAAAATGAAAAAATTGGGTAAAATATTTATTTTTTTAAATCAGCCGAAAAATCCACCGATGTTTAATGTAAGGTTGTTAGCTACTCAAAACAGTACGCCTTTTTGATTTGGAACCATTTTTACCCAAGTTACAGCAAAAAAAAGATTAAGAAAAATGTAAAATTTTTTTTATAAAAATCTAATAAATATCATTAATTAATATTGTATATTGGCATTCTTCATTTCTTTCTTTTTCTAAAACACCAAAACTACACTCAGAAAAAAAAATTTCCTTAATTTAAGTCCATTGACCTTGATTTAAGGAATAATGGCTTTAAAATGGCTAAATAAGGCTATACATGGACTTAAAAATTTTTATCCCATATACATTTTAAGTCTACATGGACTAAAAATGGACCTAAGTCCATGTAACAGTCCATATGGCCTTAAGTCCAAAATTAGTCCATGTAGACTTAAAATGTATATGGGATGAAAACTTTTAAGTCCATGAATAGCCTTATTTAGCCATTTTTAGTCCATCGTTCCTTAATTTAAGGAACGTGGACTTAAATCAAGGTAATTTTTTTTTCTGGGTGTATTTTGTGTAAATGGGGAATACGAGATTTCATAAATATAATTGTTAATTTTATTATCAGTGAAGGGAATTTGATTACTAAACTGCTATCCTTTAAATTTAAACCCTAAATATACATAGGTGGCCGCTGGCTAAGCTAAACCCATCTTAAAGCCAACGAACGACACTCCAAACAAAAAACACATTCATTCATTCATTCAATTCGTTAGCTGCGGGCTCTTCAGCTTAATTACGATTTTATTGGATTTTATACTCAGTGAGGCCTGCGGCGCGAAACGGGGGCAGAAACATCAAAAACATTGCCACCGACGTAAATTAAGCATAATAAATAAATTACCATAATTATAAAATGTGTGAGCGGCAGCAGAAAAAGGCGACATCGAATAAATGCGACGGCGAGAATTACATAAAATATCAACGCAAGCAAATATACGAAAAAAAAATAAATAAAAAACAAAATAAATTAAAATAAAAATAAAAATGAAACAGAAACAAAAAAAAAGGCAGCCAAAGAAAAACCGAATGAAATGAAATGGAACGAAACGAGAAACGAGTAAAAACAAAATGCAAATGAAAAACCAATACAATATTTGTCATTTACATACATCATACATGGCAGTGTGTGTGTGAGTGTGTGGGTATGTGTGTTATTTCGATTTATGTTGTGGCAACACAGCAACTGCAGGCGACAGCCGAGGACTCCAATCCGAGTCCTGGTGGCGGTGGCAAGGAGTCAGGGTGAAATTTGCATGTCAGAATCAAATGCGACAGTTTTGACAGCTTGCCGGGCTCATTATTTGCATACAGATGATCGTAATGACGCCGGCGATGAGTATGTATGTGGATCTGGAATATGGAATGCGGAATCTGGGGTCCTGACCTAACGCCACCCAGGGGTTGGCCTTAAACCATATCCACATGACACTGGCTGAACAAATGGTTCGAGAGCCCTGAGAGCCACCATTGAACTGCGACAGAAGACCTCAAATGCAGACTTGAAGTCCATGAATGTTTTATTTGCAGAGGAGAGGAGTTCCAAAATCACGTTTCGGTTGAAAAGTATTTTTGAAAGGTGTCCAAAAGTATGCAAAAAAATATTTAAATACAAAATACATCAAAAGTATCATTTGCCGAGAAGAAGACATCCAAAATCACGTTCGGTTTGAAAAGCATTTTTAAAAAGGTGTCTAAAAGTATGCAACAAAATACTTGTATATCCCCACAGATCTAAAATGCAGACTTCAAAGTTTATGACTGATTTAAAAGCATTTATAAAGGTGTCTCAAATAGAATCAATCCACAAAAGAAAAATATGCCTATTGACCAAATAGTATTCATTTTTCGCAGGCTAACAAAAAGATTAAAATGATAAAATGTAAACAAGTTGTACCCACATAATCTTATCTCAGGTTGAATTGTATGCTAACAGGATCATTATAATCCCATAATCCAAATCCATATGCCAAGCAAAAAACATCAAAGCAGAGGTAATTTTATTACAAATCAATAAAACAGAGAGATTTCACTCTGCCCCAAACTCCTCGAGCGTTCGGTGTACATATCCTGATTAATATTCTGGCTCTTTAAATTTGAAATAAAAGCTGCAATCGGATTTATTTAAGCTGCTCCCAATACGATTGCAAATACAACAAACAAAAGCACACAGACAGCTGTTGGCTGTGATCTGATTTCATTTTCCCAGCCACATGTCGCTCTCAATACATTTTCCTCGGGAAAAACTGCGGGGCCAATGCAATGTCAATATTTATGAACTATTATTGAACATTTGACGAGGCTGATGATGATGATGATGTAAGAACAACATCCAGGAGTTCAGGAGTTCAGCAGATGGAGTGTGGAGCTTACATTAGCCAGCGACTGGCAAAAGAAAAATTTAATTAAAAAGTTAAAGGAAATGGAAGCAGTATGGAGATGGAGGGCGAAATGTTGACTATGGAATGCCAATTTATGACAGCGACGACAAGAAGGATGCCATGGCTTCTCGATACAGGATACACACGTATATGTACATGGGGAAGTCCCGCAAAATGCAAAGAGCGAAAATTAATGGAAAATTAATTAAGTGTCGTTTAATGTTGTCTCAATGTAAACGCTTTCAACGCAGCGCAAATTAAATTGTTGATGCCATATAGCAGGACCACTCAGCTTTCGACCCCCTTCCTTTTCCCCGCTTTTGATTTATTGGTTTTCTTTCTAGGGGTTTTTATACATATTTTTTTTTTTTTTTTTTTGTATATGCCACCCAGTACTATACTGCCTGCTGCATTCTGGAGGCTCAGTCGAGCGTTAGCCAGGGCCATAAAATTACATTTTCCCCCTGCGGCACCCGAACCACCCATCCACCCATCCACCCACCCATCCACCACCACCCTTGACCACATGGCGTATGCGCAATCTCAACGAGGCAAAGCAAGGAGCGGCCCAGCCGAGGCGAATACTTTTCCATATGCAAAGTGCAATGGAAATTGCAATTTTTCATGTGGCTTCTCTTTGGCTTTTCGCTTGCAATTCAATCAAATGCAAAAAGAAGTGAAATAAAACTGAAAAAAAAAAAACGCAGAAATACCACCTACCTTCTTGCAGTAATCAAGCAAATCCATTTTATCACGCAAACATGTGGCGCCGGTTGTCTTCTTGCTGAGGTCCGTCATCCAGCGTCCCTCCTCGGAAAGATATTGCGGTTGATAGATTTGTCCGGCCTCGCAGAGAACGGCTATCTGGGGCTCCCATCGTGGCGAGGCGGCCTGGAAAATATAAAAAAATATCGGTTAGTCGGCGGTCAATTGAAGTAACAAGTTGTCCGTGTCAGTGGAAGGATATAAAAGGAAATGAAGATATTCACAAAAAATTCCCCATTCTTCTGGGCAATGCCAACAATGCGTATGCGTAATGTCTGATATGTGTTTTTTTTTTTTGGTATTTGTCTGTGTATCTGTGAGCATCACGAGGTTGAGGATGAGGCAGCAACAAAGCCAAAGACAGCAGCAAGCAGCAAGCAGCAAACAGCAGACAAAGACATGCCAGGGCACATTAATCATACGCCACATTGTACAGGCACAACCCACATTCCTAAGCCCAACAACCCAACAACCCAACACCCCACACACGTTCGTGACAAAGCGATAAAAAATGATGCCACATCGTTTGGCAGATAGGGATAGGCAGATACTGGAAATACTGAAATATTGCAAGATACTCTTGGCCCGCCGGCCAAAGAACAATTAATGGCCGTCATTAGGGGGCGGTGGTATAGCCGGTGGGGGCGTGGCAAGTGCTGAGTCCAGGCGATTGCTTAAATGCTTCATTACCACATGACAGGAGCAGCCAGCCAACTGCTGCAGGCCTCGATGAACGATGATGAATGTCCGGGCAAATTATGCATAACGATATCAATTGATACATTGATTGATTGACGCCATTGTGGCTGACGAAAGTGCGAAAGGATAGAGAGGGACGGGGCAAGGCCAAAATCAGCTAAATATGCTACTAGAAATGAAGCGAAACTCATTGTTCTACAATAGATTGCACAATTTAGTGAACAAGAAAGGTGATTTGTATTTTATTTGCCCAAACCCTTTTTTAGTAATTGCGTTTGCAATAAAAATATTTAAACATTTTTAAAAGTTGACTCAAAAAAGAGAGGTGTTTTGTAAGAAAGTCCTAAGTTTGGATTTTATTAGATTTTGAGTTATTTTTAGATTTAATTTCTTTCTTTTGTTGCACAATTTGAGACAGCTTTTTAAGGGTTTCAAATAAAAAAGAAAAATACTATTAAATGTAAATTCCACTCTAAATTCCCAATTCTTTTGTAGAAATACAAAAAATCAAAGAGATTGTATTATATTTTTTTAAAGGTGTCTAAAAGTATGCTCTAAAAATTCGAGAAAAATTCATCTTTGTACAAATTGAGAAACCTTTATGAGTTTCCAATATAAAATAGATTCTAAATGTATAAAGTGTACATATATATTCTTGAAGAACTGAAGAATTATCCGCTATTCCTAGTTATTGCGCTCAGTACACCGACACTTGACACTGCGCCGTAGGAATCATCAAAGGGATAATCACCAGAGACAATTGGAGAATCACGGCGGATAGGGAGCGGGATTAATGGAGGGATGGTGGAGATTTCGAGCAGAATCGCGAGACAATGCCGGTGCTGATTGCAATCAAAGCGAGTTGCTCGCCGGCCCCGAGATTTCCACTCTCCAATTATGACCAGCAACAATGGGAGTTTCCCTGATCTGTGCTTTTCCTTTCAGCTAGCTAAAAATCCCGAGGCTTAAATCCCAGGGTTTTGTTTCAATTTTTTGCGCCCAGCTCGCAGCTCACAATCAAAGTGGAGCAGACTTTTCCGCGCCCGGCCACCCACTTTTCGGCGCTTTGTTCTCGGTGTGCGTTGGTCTGAAAATGCAAGCGATTCGCGGAATCCAGCGAATGCACTCATTGATTCACCAACTCATTCAGGCACTTGCCTGGAAAATGATCCCCCCGCAGAAGTCGCTGGAAAACTTAATGGAGAATGTGAATGGTGGGCCAGAAAATTGAATATATTTCGAATATGCTTTTTAATTTCAACTAAAAGGTTTCCGTCGTCCTTGAAAGCCTTTCAAATTAATGCCTTAAGCCGTGACGCACATTTTCCGGACATTAAATGATTTTCCAACTTTTAAATATTTTCGGAAAACCTAGATTACCAAAGTTAAGGCGATTTAATGATTTCCAAGTTTGAAACACACACATTTAGCCCCTTTTGGGGAAGCAAATGTTGCAAAGTGATTAAATGGGAAACTTTCCCTATCGCCGGCCACTCGATTTAATGATGCCCTAATGCATTCATAAATACATAAAGCTCTGTGCGTTCCACAATATAATTATTGATCGGAAACCCTGGGAATTCGCCATACACTCGCACAAACACACACAAAGTGCATTGCAAGTAACGGATACTTGTAAAACTTCATTAAAGGCGACTTCCGGTTGCCAAGGCAGCAGCTGAAATATGCATTATACCCACAGGGCATTTTCCATTTTCCAGCCCCCTTTTCCGGACCCCTTTTGAATTTTCTTCGCCCTTCGCTTGTCAGTCGAGCAAAAGTGATGTGATGTGATGTGTGTGTGTGTGTGTGAGCTCAACTATTTCAAAAGTAATTAAGTTGGCAAAAAGGCGCCAACGCAGCTTGGGCTCAGCTTTTGTTTGTCAGTTTTTCGGGGCTGGGAAAAATAGGGAAAAAAGGGGAAAATAGGGAAAATTGTATGCTGGTTGAAAGGGGGGCTAAAGGGGGGTGAAAGACCAGTGACAGAGGCGGGCCAGCAATTTTTCCAGGCAATCTAATAATTCAACCAAAAGCAACCATACACGCACATACACTTTTCGCTTGGCCAATGCCCTTTTGCAGCAGTGTGTGTGTGTGTGTGTGTGTGTGTGTGTGTGTGTGTGTGTTTGTTTATGCAGATTTTGTTTGGCTTTTGCCCGAGTCGGGATTGCACTTGTTGTTGTTCCTGCCCTGCTGTTGTGTTGTTTACACTAACACCAACAATGGCATATGCCAAACAAGGGAAGGGGGTTTTCAGGGGGTTTTGCAGGGGGTTGTAAGTGGGTTTTCCAGGGGTCTGGGAACGTGGGGACAATAATAATGTCGCTAGCCATGGCAACGCAATGTGCAAACAAAAACACAAAGACAAATTTGTAACAACGGTGGGGTTTTCTTTTTTTTTTTTTTTTTGGGGGGGGGGGGCTGAAAAAGGTATCCCCAGAAGAGAGGATGCCCCATCCTATGCATGTATATAGGGAGTGCATGTCCTGCGACAATTATGCGGAATATCCTCTTTTGGCCAAGCAAAAATAATGAGGATAGACAGGAGCAGCCATTAAACGCAGTTCAACCCACTTAATCCGGGTATATGGAGAGCGGAAATACGACATTAACGACATGAAAACAAGTTGGGAGCGGTGTAAAATAAGGAAATATCAAGTATCAAAATAGTTAAAGAGGTGTCACGAAAATTATATGAAATTTAAAAGAAATTACACTATAAGATTTTAAGTTATTTGTTTTTAGGCATCATAATTATAGATTTTAAAGTACTAGATACTTCTTTATGTTTCCTTTATTCTTATTAAAAAAATCCTTTAAAATATTTATATTTTATTATCTGGCTAAACATAAGTCACCTTTTAACTTTAGAGGTTTTTCAAGAGGTTTTCAAGAAAATGCACTTAAGATTTCAAATTTTGCAACTCTGTCAAACAGTTTAATTTCCATGCCAACAAGTTTCAAAGGGCAACTGTTCCTGTGGCCAAAATCATGCATCCTGCGCGAAATAGACAATTTCACGGCTGAAAATTGATGAAGCCGAAGACCTGATGAATCCTGCGGTCTCATCCCTTTTGGCCATAATGATCGAAGAAAGTAATGCGGAGATGGGGCAAATCAGAAGCCGCCAAAGTGACAGGCGACAAAAGGGAAATTGCAGCAGCACCAGGGGCGTTAATAGGGGGGTGGAGTGGTGTGACAGGGGCGTAGTGTCAAGAGGGGAAAGCAGGGAACCGGATGGCCGAGTGCAACAGCCAAAACGCAGCGCCACTTGCGGCCACGCCCACCGACCAAATCCGCCCCAGCTTCCGTCTGCTGCTGTCGTTTCACTTCCTCTTTTCTCGCGCTCTGGTGAAAGGCAATCATGGTGGAGAGCTCCTACCCCTGCAACCCCTCCACCCCCTTTTCCGCCCCTTTTCCCACCCCTACCCCCCTTTTCATCCGCACTGTTTGCTGAACAAGCTGAAAGGGCGACAAATTGTAATCAAATGCACGCATGAGTGTGTGTGCGTTTGTCTCCCCTTACCGCCCACCACAAAAAAGGGGCGTGGCCGTGAGTGTGTGTGTGTGTGTGTGTGTGCGACAGGTTTTTGCTTGTTGCCCGGCCAAAAGGAGCGGAAAAACACGCTTAATCGGGGGGACACAGGACGAAAAGGAGGTGGGAATAGGGCTGCGATTGGGATTGGGAAAATAGTGGAAAGCCATTGATTAACTTGCTGGGCGTAGAGTCAAGCGGTGTACTCCCATATGGAGCTTGTAGCTCATAAACTTGCCAAGTAATTGGAGTTTCGATCAGCGCCCCAAAGTATGCAGTGCAGAGTGCAGTGCAGTGCAGGAAATGAGGACACCGGAAAAGGCGGAAAAACCTGTTTCGCAACGAGATTGCAGGCAGGATCCAAAGAGGACTCTTGAACCGAAAATGGCTTCTTAAACGAAAATCTCTAACGCCAATTTTCACACTTTTTATAAGGGGTTAATCATGATTTTTTGCCAAAAAAAATATGGCCAAAAATAATAAATAAATCCATGACACTTTCCGGGATTCATGACACAATTGGGATCTGGGTTTTTGTTTAAAATTGGATTTTTTTTGTTTTTTTTTTGCTGTAACTTGGCCAAAAATAGTTCAACATCAAAAGTACATACTGTTTTGAACAGATAACAAAATAATAAATAAATCCATGACACTTTCCGGGTGATCTTGAAGAAATAAAATTTTCGCCAATTTTTAATTTTTTTATAAGGGGGTACATCATAATTTTTTACGAAAAATGGCAAAAAAATAAAATGTCCAGGTTTAAATGCCAATCGATTGGAAATTTATTAACGAGTTCAGAATGGTATGACAATCCATTTTTAGATCGTTATTTCCAAAATACTGATATTTTAGAGTGGAAATTTTGTAATATAATATTAGACAAAAATAC